CGTGAGAAGGAAAAGGCCTTCTCAAAGGCGGCGTGGCGTCTCAGAAGCCCTCGCGCCTTCTGAAAACTGTTCTGCGTTTTCTTCGGCAAAGGCTTAGAAAACTTCTCAAGGCTGGGGGACTTCTGAGCCTTCTGAGAAGGCCCGCCCCCTTTCACCCCCCCCCCTCGCTCGCCGCCGGCAAGAGGAGCCCAACCCAGCCCAAAACAGCCAAAGCAGGCCCCCAAGACACTCCAACGCCCGTCGCTCGGAAGACCTGGGCACAATAGGTAGCAAGAGCGCGCTTTTATCAGATAGGGTCTCCGCCCACCCTTTGGAAAAAAGGACAAAAGTTTCGGAAAACCGCCCGTAGCTTTAAGATGGGAAACTATAACATGGATTGGGATATGGGAATCCAGAGGTACCTCCGTTCGACGACCGGCCTGGGCGGCCGAGGGGGATGGAGCAATGCGAAGGCCGCTCGGCCGAGGGGGGCGGGTCACGCCCGGAGCGAGCGGCGCGGCTGGCCACGCCAGCAAGGACACCGGCGGCTGCTGCGTCGGGGTTCCAAGGACGGCGGGTCGCACTGCAGGTACGTGCCAAAACGAGTCCAGCGGGAAAACGGTGCGATGCGCTCAAGGGCCTGGGACACCAGGCAGTCAGCGCGTCCACACAAGGGGTCGCGGGTGGGGCGTGTGCAACAAAATGCTGGGCCAGCGGGGGCGGCGGGCGGCAAGACCAAACCTGGGGCCCCAGCTCGGCGGCGGCAGGCAACCAGCCATCGTCATGGCGGCGCGCGAGGGAGGAAGAGCGAACGGGGAGGGAAAAACGAACAGGGCGGAGGACGTCGCGCCTGCCGAAAACCCGCAAGCGGGGCGGCAACGCTGGGCAGCAGCGGCGGCGTCGGGACAGACAGGCAGACAGACAGACAGACAGGCAGGCCCGCACGCCAGCCACAGAGGGGGGTCCGTTCCTCTCCGCGGCCCGGCACCTGGGACACGCAGCCCCCCCCACACAGGCACGACGGTTGCCATCGACGCGCACATGCCAAAAACAAAAAAACAAAACAAAAAAAGGCCAGGCGTGGCAGGACGCTGGCGTGCAAAAGTGCGCTGCGCAGGGCTTGCTTTGTCAAAAACGCTACCGTTACAAACCCCTCCTCCAATGTTTCCCACATCCTCCTCGTCCTCGTCCTCGTCCTCGTCCTCCTTCTCCTCCTCCTCGTCCTCCTCAGTAACGTTTTCCACCGCGCACCGTCACCTGAAACAACGGCACCCTGCTTGCTGATGTACTCCTGGGCGCCGTCGTCCCAACGTCTCTTTGGTCGGCCAGTGGAGCGACGTGCCGTTAGAGAAATCAACGACGGATCCCAAGACATCGCTAGCAAAGCCCAACGGTCGGCACCCATGTTTGCCACCCGGTTACCCAATCGCCGCAGCCGCCTCCGTCGTTGATGTGCCCACGAGCCAACATGTGTCGTCAGCAGGTGCTCGCCAGACATGCGCGTTGCTTTCCGGATGGGGTCGGCTCAGCATGTGTATATCCTAGATGTTCCGAAGATGCGGAGTCTGATTGAGAATGAAGATCGCCGACCACGTCTGTACACTCATCATCGACACCGCACGCCTCTCGGGCAACACCTTTGCGCATTGCTCCTGACATCTGTCTGAACATCCTCTGTAAGACACAATGGAATACATGTTCTACATGGCGTGCCACAGGCCATATGTTGCTCCCAGGCAGCAGCATGGGTGCAACCGTGTTGTTGAACAAACGACTGAGATCGATCATTCACTGGCCGAGATCTACTGGCCAACTCCGACTTGCGTATCCGATATGCTGCCCACGCCTTCCAAATTCCGCAATTTCCCTTGCAATCGAACTACAACAACACGAATATATAGAGAGAACACGTACTTCACGACACCTGGCTCCCGCCTTGACGCCCAACATGTTCGCTTCATTGCAAGGGTCACACGGATGGACGGCAGATCCATGTTCAGCACGTGTATCGCCTTCGCGCGGTGCGCAACCACCTTAATTATTTACACAAGTTGCACGGGTGCAGAGCGGTTGTTGTTTGAATAGGGTGCTGTCCTTTGAGAATCCCCCAGAGGCGATGGACCTACATTGAAGCATGGCCAACAGTCACAGGGACGGGGTGCGGCTGCTGTACAGCCTGGGAGGTCCACCGATACCTAAGCATAGGCATGCTCTTTCGAATGAACTGCACGGGATTGGTGTGTATCCTGCATCCCTTGCCTCCCCCCTCTTCGGCCGCCCGCTCTGTCCCGTTTTCCCGCTGTTGCATGCTGGCCAATTCGCTACAAGGGTGCCTCCGTTGAGTTAGCTCCTTCCGCCAGCGCAGACGGCCCCTGCCGAGACGTCGGGTCGAAAAGTGTATCCTACAGCTCCACGCGCGCATCACTCCCTCCTTGGGGGCGCGCAACCATGGATTAGCAACATGCGGCCGGTGCCGCCTCGTTCGGCGGCGGAGTTCCGCGATGTTCCAACGGAAACGGGACCCGTCGTGCAAGGCGGATGCGTCTGCGCCCAAGTCTGCACGGCACACCTCCACAGGGGCGCTCGTCCTCCAAGGCGGCGCGCTGCCCATTTGGGGGAAGAGGAGCAGCAACGTGCAGAGACTGGTGAAGATTGGAGCTCAGGGCGCGAGGGTGTGCTGCAACACTGTGGGTGTGGCTTGGGTGAGCTAGGGTCCCTGCCTTCCTCCCCCTGCCCCCTCCTCATCCCCATCCTCGCCCTCTCCTCCCCGCTCACACCAATTCTCCCCCCGTTCCTCCTCCCCTTCACTCCAGGCGAGCACTTCTTCCCTCTGCTCCCTGATGGTACCTGGATCTGCCACCGTCTCTCTCGCGAATTGCGTCCCACGCGCAATTTCAAGACTTGAACTGCAATGTGTGTTCTTTCGATTGGTATGTCCTCGGTCCTTCAAACCATGAACGCGCGCTGCAACGTAAGGCACATGTCAGGATCGGCACTTCCCTCCCATCATTCAGAATGGTGCTCTCGCCCCTGTGAAGACATTTTTTTGGGATACCATTCTCCCCTCTGCTCGTCCGCTTCCTCCTCCTCCTCCTCCTCCTCCTCTTCCCACAAGATTCGAAGCTTGCATCTCATACGATGGGAGCATTTGGGGGAACACGGTGCTCGAGGACACCTCCCCGTCGGAGGATGCACAACATTCTGCGCACTGGGCAAGGATGCGTGGGAGCGGACCGATGCCAGACTTTGCGCGAACGCGCCTCGCTTGTGCTCAATCCTTTCTCTTTTTTCCCCTCTTACCTTACCCCTCTCTCTCCGTGCGTAGCCATTTTGGCTCAGGCGTTTGGTGGCGTCGCCTGAAAGAACGCTGGGGCCTACCGCCGCGCCTGCCCGTGTGCAGGCTGTGGAGCGTGAGGCTATCACGGCCCATGCGCCGCGCCACACCGCGGCGGCCGCTGCCCAGTGCAGCGGACCCCTAGACGACCGCGGTCGTGTTTCTTTCTCGATATTGCAACTCTTCCGCGTCGTCGGATCTCAGGGGCACCTCTGCCAGGGCGGCTGGAAACGTTGACCACCCCTGGCACAGCAGGGATCTATACACTTCCCAGCCGCCCTGGGGCGCCCCCGAGCGCGGAACAATTTGTTTCATATCGGCAGCGAGCGTGGCCATGGTTTGGATGCTCGGCACGGGTACGGAGGAAATGGGTACGACGCCCAACAGCACATGTTGTCCAAGACTGATAGCGGCCGCTGTTAGGCAGGCGGCCTTCTGCCTCGAATGGACAACGGCCGCGGCCTCGCCGACAGCGGACCTGGTCAAGAATGAACAAGTCGGGTGTTGGCAGAACTGGGTTTAGTGGGACCTGGTTTAATGATGTGTACTGGGGGACGCCCCCCCCCGCCCCGTTCCACTCACCCGAACTGCCGCCACCCGAAAAAACACCAGCTATGGCAGACCTGGTCTAGTGATTCTGGCCAATTTAGAAGCTCCGGGGCCCTACCACTGCTCGGGTCCCCTTCATTACCTGGGGTCCTGGCTATACCCTGACACGAACTGCTGTTTGACTTCGTATGCCCGCTGCTTCGGTACCCACTTCGATCGCCCCAAGTGAACGCGGCGCCCGCTGCCTCTGCGCCGGCGGCGGCACTGGACCCTGTGGCAGTCCAGCTCCTGGCGCCGCCTTCGCCGCGCCCTGGCGTCACCCTCGCCTTCGGCTTAGGTCGTGCATGTCTACAGGCGGGTTTTGGACGAAACATAGAGAACAGTCCCCAAGAAAATCCCCAATACCGGAAAAATGCTAGAAACATCGTCCCCACATTACGGCTTGAACTATTTTGAAGATTCCTCCTGTGGAGGGACCTGCCCGACTGAACCTTCGGCCGCGCCTGCCTCGGCTCGCTGCGGCGCCGGCTCGAGGAGAGAGCTGCCAGGCCTGAGGCTCGTCTGGCCTGCAAGGGCCCTGCAGGTCACCACGGGTGCGCTCCTCGCGACGTTGGTGTGCGGCGGGAGCTCCGAGGCACAGTGGCGCTTCGCGGTGGCGCTCCGCGCGGATTCCTTGGATCTGCGCCGAACCCGAGCGCGCCAGGGGCGGCGCGGGAGGCGCCGCCGGGGGGCCCAGCGCGGATCCAAGAAATCCGCGCGAAGCGCCTCAAGTTTATGGCTACGTTTTTTTCTCCCGCGGGCAAAACGAGGACGCACGATGAAGCGTGCAGGGGCCTTGGAAGGCCATGTCGACGCTTTGCGCGCGGGGCGCGGCCAGCGGAAGCGGCCAAGGATGGCCCGAAGGTTAACGGGCGAAGAACAGTATCAAATAAACTCCCAAGAGGTCCCCAAGAGGCCCCCAAGAGGCCCTAAAGAGGGCTCCAGGGCCGGCGGCATGAGCGAAGCGATTAATAAACTTTTTCGCTGTCGGGGGCGCCTGTCCCCGGGCGGCTGGAAAGTTTATACCCTTACGGTGGCACCGCAGGGGTATAAACTTTCCAGCCGCCCGGGGACAGGCGCCCCCGACAGCGAAAAAGTATATTTTCCTACCGCTCTTCGCTCGCGGAGAAGGGGAGGGCCGCAAGGGCAGCTCTGCTCGTCCTCACCTTGCGGGTGGACCGTCCGCCCTTCCGCGTCTCCTGGCACCGCGCGTGCGCCCCTGGCGCGCGGCGAGTGCACGGGCAGGCGGGGGCCCTTCCGTGCTCTCGTGCTGGTCGTTGCTCGTGGCTCCGCGGCTCGCTGTGCGGCTCGCGGAGCGACGCGTCGCCAGGATGTCGGTGTCGCGCCCATTCCGCGCGGGCCTTGCTCGGTGTCACCGAGGTCCGGGCTGCGTCAGGTGGGCAGTCTGCGTTGGGGAGGGGGAGCTGTACTGGACAGGAGGCCTCCTGAGATGGGGTCCGAGCAGACGGGGTTGGAGGATCGCGCCACATCGGCGATATCTCTGCGACGTCGACGTGGGGCCGGCGCGGAGCCGCCGCGCGCGGCGAGCGCGGAGGACCTGCACCGGCGGGGCAACGAGCTCTGCTCGGTGGCGCGCCTGGGGGGGCAGGGCTCCCCAGGCTGGGGGGACGAGGGGGAGGAGGAGG